CTATTTCAGACCAGACAAAAAAAACTTTAGTATATCAATAATATTCACTAGACGCGATCAATAATTTCACTAGACACGCAAGAATGTTACACATACTTCGCTAGTCATGTTTGCAACATCTTCTGGTGAAATCATACCAGAAGCAACTTTCTTGACGAAATTAGGGTTACTTTTATCCTTTAAATTCCATAACTTGGAATAACAATTTCTTTTATAATCCTCATCATTTATCATTTGATCAGAATTTTGAAATATTTTGTTTTCGATTCGTATGGCGATATCAAGAATTCTCTGCCTCACACCTGCCCATATTCAATCAAACACGAATTTTAAGAGATATGTATTTATTTTATACCATAAGGTGTTACAAAAGAAGTATTCTTACTTATATTTGGATTTGGTTCCGTAATCGTCTTACGCAATGCATCATAGATCAATTTTATATCTGTAAAAAAAAAAAAGAAAGAAATGAATAGTTGATGGATTTTTAAATGAACAGAATAATTTTCTTTGCATACACTTGTTTCGACGTTCACTTCCAGTATTTATCTCTGTTGGTAGATCTCCATCTGGTTTGATCACACAGTCCTTCCTCACGACCGGTCTAGGTAACTTATATCGTGGTATATAACTATGATGGATAATTATATTCTTCACGCTGAGACTTCGTTTAATGTGCCTCGGCATGTTCATAATATATATATATGTTTGAGAGAGAAAAAAGAAAAAATCTATACAATTCTATTCTTGTGTGCTTGGTTAATTATACCGTACCGATAATTTGAAAATTTTCTCTTTAAACGCGTTTATTTGGGTTTCTTTTTTTTTTTCTTATTTTTATTCTTTTTTTTTTTTTTTTTTGGAGGAGCCTTTTTATGTGAGATTGGGATCTTGATGAATGCTTATTTTAAGGGAAAAAAATGAAGTCATATTTCTCTAAAATAAGCTATAACGTAAACGATAAAGTTTTATCTCTAAAGTTTTTTTTTTTCCTCAAATACGCGTCATTACATTTATACACGAAGTTCATGTCACAGTAGCCTTTATCATTTTTTTTTTTTTAGCAATAACTCAAACTCGGTGATTTCGTAAGAACTTAGTGTTCAAATGAGTCATGATATTAGTAATTGGAGCAATTGGAAGTTTTATTATTTATAATTATTAATATTATTGCATTGGCTTCAAAAAAATACTTTAAGCTAAAAATTGTTAAGAACTAGTTCTATATAAAAAATTTGCAAGTGATATTATGTTACATTTGGGTTCTTTCACA